ACCCCCCCCCCCCCTTCCTTTCCACCACACACCTCCAACCCCCAAATAGCTGGTTTGACGTTATCCCACCCAAAGCCATTATTTCATTCTTTGGTAGATTGCTAAGTCTAACAGTTTCTTATACTTACATTATTCCTCACTCCCCTGCTAGCTAGCTCTCTTCTCCGATCTAGGATGCTCTGGGTTTTGGGGGGCCCTTGGTCTACTGACGTATACTGCATGACTGCTGGTCCTGCATTGTACAGGATGATGTAGAAGTGCCTAAGACAGAGTGGCAAAGAAAAGCAACTTTTGGGGACCTTTCATGCAGCTGGAAAGAAGCCTATGGGGGAATTAAGGTAAGTGGATGTTTATCCCCTATACAAAAAGAGCATTTAACTCTTGCATCACATTTTTTTTCCTGGAGTTCAGCTAATTTTATTTTATGGAGAATGCAAGAGGAGTTGTGGGAACATTGTAAGGTTTACAGGAAAACCTAAAACTTTAGGTAGCCAAAAATGGATGGAAAAAGCAGCTAGTTATATAGTCCTCCAGATTGCACCTATAACTAAGATTTCCATTCTAGGTGGACTTTTTCATATGATCATTATTATAACAATCTTTATACAACTGTGCTATGCATAATATGAACAGATCAATGAATGGTAATTTTATTAACTCATTCAATTTAGCTAATTCAACAAATGTTTTCCCCAACAATTATTTTCACTTCCAGCACATTAACTACAATATTACAGAACAAAAGAACCAGTGGTACTTAAAGTGAACTTGTATTTTCACTTCTCTGCCCATTCTAAAAGCAATGGGAACAATCCATGAAGTGGCACTTCCGTGAAGAAGTTTTGCTCATTTAACTAGCATTAGCCTGTATAAAAAAAATTCTTAAAGCTTTCAGCCAGGAAAAGCACATGTGAACTGTAAGAGCAGACAGATTAGTTCTATATGCTAGTTGAGATTTTAACCACAGATGGTTTTAAAGGTTAGAAAGGCTGCCTAGTTAATAACTACTTCTGAACCACAAGCAGGGCTAGGCTGCCACACAAGCCTTCACCGTTTCTCTTCTGTCTGGCCACAGTTTCAGACGTTTTGTAGCACGTGAGTGTGTGTGAAGTAAAAGTGTATACAGGTAGTCTGTTCCCATGAATAGGCAATAACTACATATACATTTATTAAAGAGTGTATCATTTTATTTTCTGGGGTTGCAAAACTACTGAAAATCTAACTAATGACAGAGGCCTAAACCATAAACCACATGTTTTTAAAGGCAATATATCAGAGGTCTCAAAGTACCGAACAGGTACTATATGGCCCACAGCCAGCTGACAAGTCAGGCATGCAGTCATGGACCGCGTACCTGATTTGCGGGAGCAGCTACACGGTCTGCATCTCGGTCGGATGCAGACCGCATAGCTGCTCCTGTACACCGGCACTCCTTTTTTACAGGTATGTGGAGCTTCTATGGGAGTCTAGTTTCCATTCCACTCAACAACCTCTACAAAGAAAGGTGGGAGAGCTTCATATTTTTGCAGACAGCAAAAAGGCTATTCACCCTTCATATAGTAGGGTATGGTCGCTTCGTAAATTACCTTCTTTAGGTGCAGTCTGACCTTGAGTTCTTTGAAATGGAGTATCCTCTGTGTCCCCAAAATGTTGGCTGCTTATTATGACCATGTGTTGATTTATTAATGAGGATTTTCAAGCTACTTGAAGAGTATCTGCCTTTTCATAACTTTCTTCTTGAATCATGTCATCATTTGTCTTAGTGCCTAAATCTCTAACAGGCTACAGAGGTGTGTGTGAGATGCCTTTTGTGTTTGATGCCTGTTTATTTCGCCTTTATAGAAGGGGTCTTATGTCCCTAACACATTAAATGTTGACTGCGACCGCGGTTTTAACCTAGTAACGAGGATTTTGAAGGTGCTTTGAAAACAGATTTTAAAATATCAATGAATGGTAAAAATAGCTATTACTACATTATCTGCAATCACTACATTATTCACATATTACTGCAAAAATAATGTTCAACTGCAATTTCCATAATTTCCTAAAGGTTATTTAGATGAAAAGGATATGGGGTAAATGCTTGAGTTAGAAACACACTGCCCATGGCCTTCCCACTGTAAAAAACGCTACTGTTATCTAATTCTGCTGTGAATGACCGATGGTAGTATGCCAGTGGCTGTCCTGTTATAAGCCACGGGGGCTTTGGCAAACAGCATGGCTGCAAACATTCCCTTAAACCGACAATAGGCTAAGTGACACAAAGTCTTGGAAACCCCATAATAAAGACATTTTACCACATAACATGGTATTAGAGTTATAACTATAACTGTATTAGGGCAGCCTGAAATGGCAACCTAAAGAGCAGCCTCAAGCACCTTACAAATGAAGCTGGTGTCAGTAGAGCGCTGAATACCAGGTACCAAAGACCAGGTGTCAGCCTTGGAAATCTGAGTAACAGACACCTGGTTCTGAA